CCCTCTCCCCTCCCCCGCTCTCCCGCGGCCGCTGCCCCTCGCTGATGAGGAGGAAAGTATTATGTATGCATTCGTTATATATACACTGTTGGCGCCCGAGTGTTGGCGGCTGGTGGCGGGCTCTTTGAAATTTAGAACAAGACGCGGCAAACTGGATGTCGTAGGTGTCGTCGGCTCCGCCACCACCACCCGAGGGGGAGGCAACCGTGGCCACTCGACGCACTCCTTCTCTCTCCGCACGGTGCTTCGGCGACCTTGGTCACCGTTTGTTGGTTTATGTGAAATAAAACAAAATAGGGGTTCCTCAAGAAGTCCCTACCCACCTTGGACCGCGCGAGGACCCGCCTGCGCAACCCCGGAGATCGGATAGGGTACGGTACGGTACGGTGTTTTTCTGTGTTTTTCCAGGCGACCACCACTTTAGCCACGGTAGAGCTCTGCCCTCCGCTCTGCCAAATCGCCCTTTTCGACCGACCCACACCGCGCTCGATCTGTGCTGGCTGTACCGGGTCCGGGTGAATCTTTGACTTCGAAAGCGCGATTGCATACTCGCTAGGGCTGTAGGGGCCATGGCGCCTTAGTAAGTGAGAAGGCAGAACCGCAACACTAGACCGCACCGCACCCATACGTATACCCGGTACTTCAAAACGCCTAAAAATCTCTTGTCTGATAACTTTATTTCTTATTTTGATACACACATTGAAATAGAGGCCAAACCGACCTCTCTAACAGAAGTTGTCGAAATAATCTTTTGTTAACTCAACCATAATAGTTTTATGGCCATTCCTGGAAACTAATCTTTACAACCTGTTACAACTTTCCGCTTTGTTGTGTGGATTGGGGACAGCTCAATTGAGAACAGTTAACTGTATTTAGCTTCGCATCCCAGTGGGGCCTGTACCTCCACCTCCGCTCGGGGTACTAGGAGCCGTGTTATTGATCTCTTATTGCCACCACGAGTACCACCACCGTACCTTTTCCCCACACTTCCAGCAGCAGCCGACACCACGACGGGCCGGGCTCGTCCCTCATCGCCCTCGTTAAGTCGGATCACGTCGAAAGCTCTTGCTCACCGATATTCTCCACCAATTAGTTTGCGTGTGCCCCTGTCGGGCGCGACCTTCCACCCCGTTATTGCCCTCCCGTTGTCCCCAGCTTCATTTTATAGAGAGCGGGGGGTCGTCCGACATGCCCGGCCTGCGCGGAGCGATCCGCGGGGGGATCTCTACGTGAATTAATTGGCTTGGAACTTTTGTGACGCAAGGTTAGTGAGGGCCCTATAATGACGAGCTAACAAGGGGCTACTGTACCTTGGACGTCACAAGGTGTCGGTACCGTACATTTTACAGCCGAACACACTACCCAACCGGCGGCTCGGGTCGGAGCCCTCGCCCCCCGCGCCGCCTAACACACCCACGGCCTCATCTTGGGCGCGCGTGTTCCTCCCTCAAGTACACTTGGGCTGGGACACGCCCTGTTGCGTTCTGCCAACTTTGTCTCGCCCTTCCTTCTCTTGCCTCTCGCTTCTCAGTCTGCGCATAAACTTCTATCATTCAAAATTGGCACTTGCTGTGCACTTAGACTTACCTGCGGAACACACATTGATGTCAAAGTTGATGAGTTCCTGCACAGTTGAGTTGGATGAAACCATTTATATGGAACAAACTCAGGGCTATGACAAAAATAATGGTTGAGCGTTGGCGCCTAACAAGAGCTATTTACGGCCCAAACCAAAGCTGGTCGTGCATGTAACTTTAAAGTATACTTAGTGCGCTTCTAACTACTCAACGCGGCAATGGACACTTTTCTCTGTCTCACTCTTTTTTATCTGTCGAAATTTTCTAAAAATTGTTTGTATCTCTACCCTCCTTAGACGACGACGGTCCTCCTATCAAATCCGCAGCGCACCTCTTCTCCTCCTCGCTGGCGTCCTCGATGCTCTACACGTCCGGGATGCTGCTGGGCGTGTCGCTGCCCAGGATCCCGACGGCGTGGGCCGTGCGCGTGCTGACGGGCTGGTGGTGGCTCTACAGCATCCTGGTCGTGGTGGCTTACCGCGCCTCGCTCACCGCCATCCTCGCCAACCCCGCGCCCAAGTGCGTGCTCCCCGAACATCCTCTTCCCTCTCGCCACCCTCACACTCAAAAACCTGAGTTCTTCGGCCGAGTACATTGTACTTGGACTACGACTTTTCAAGTACATTTCACTCGAATCGAGATTGGAAAATCAAGGGTGCGAAAGTGCAATGTACTACGAACAAGAACTCATTTTTTTGTGCAGCACGGTCAGTGACCAAACGCTGGATACGCTTTTTCGCCCGCAGGATCACCATCGACTCCCTGGAGCAGCTCGCCGACGCCCCGCTGGAGGTGGGCGGCTGGGGCGAGCACCAGAAGGACTTCTTTCTCACGTCCCTCGACGAGGCGGGGCAGAAGGTCGGCCGGAAGTTCGAGGTACGGAATATACTACACTACTACCACGACGTCTCGCTCATTACATATTCAAAGGCCCGCTTTTCCTTTTCTTTTCGTCGGGCGCCGCCTCATGTTCCCGCTGCTGAACAAACAATTTCATTCGCGTGTTTCTCGCCTTCCCGCCCCCGCCGGGCCCC